GGGGGGGGGGTCTGCAGCAGCAGCCGGCAGGAGTCCAGGGAGGAGGTGGAGGAGCACAGGCTGGAGGCCAGCGAGGAGCAGGGCGCCGGGGAGGCCACGCCCCCCTCAGGCTCCGCCTCCATCCTGGTCCCCAGCTTGACCAGCTCCCCCAGGACGTCGTTGATGAGGGCCCCGGGGCCCAGCTTCCCCAGGACCAGCAGCACCAGCTCCTCCGAGTAGCCCAGCTTGAGGGCGAAGTCCACCTTGGAGCGGCAGTCGGAGGGCGGGGAGGGGAGGGGGCGTGGCCTATCCGGGCGTGGCCCCCCGGAGGCGGAGCCTGGGGCGTTGAGGCGCTCGTCCTCGCTGTCGGAAACGGCGCTTTCCTCGGAAAAGGAGCTGCTGGAGCAGCTGGAACGCGTGCTGATGCTCGCCCGGCTGCCCCCCCCACCGCCGCCGCCGCCGCCGGAGGCCCTGCCCCCGCCCGTTACCGCGGCGACGGGGCTGGCACGCCGCTCGCCGCCGTCCACGTGGAGGTAGTCCAGATCCAGCCCCAGGCTGAGCATGTGGCCTGGTCCATCCTCCAGATGGTCCTTCAGGCCCATGAAGCCCTCTCACGCATCCAGCTCCGCCTCCCCCGTGACCTCACCAGTCTCCGTGACGACCACACCCGTCTCCGTGACGACCACAGCAGGCCTCCGTGACGACCTCACCAGTCCCGCCGGCGCCCGGCAGCCCGCTCACAGCTCCCCGACGCAGAGCTTGAGGGAAAGACACTGGTTTAAAAACTCATTTAAAGGAGACATATTATACCCTATTTCAACAACGACTCCGCCCACATCCAAGTCGGACATTTTGATTAGGTCACCAATAGGAAGATCATAATCCTAATTGCTTCATGGCAATATAGACGTTAATTTCAAAACAGTGAAATACATCTTGCAAACACTGAATTAAACTCTATACATAATATTATGTTAAAATAGTGGATGTTAAATAGGTTTGTACAATAAATTAACCAAAAAATATTTATTTCTCACAATTATGAAGGGTGGAGGGTTAGGGTTAGGTTTAGGGTTAAGGTTAGAGTCAGGGTCATGGTTAGGGTCAGGGTTAGGTTTAGGGTTCGGTTTAGGACATCGTTTATCTTCTGATTTCGTATAGACAGTAAAGTTTCGTTTCCACCTCGGAAAGCTGCTAGTCACATGACCTAATCCTAATCTTAACCCTCTGGTGACGTGTTTCTCATAGCTGACACACACAGTTTCCTTATGAGACCTTTTGGGATCACTTCAGGTAAAAAAAAAACAACAAAAAAAAACTCAAAACCCGGTTGTACACAGTCTGACATAATGAAAAAACCGTCATTTTCGTCGTATTGCATGGTGATAAATAGACAAATATACCAAAATGTTTTTTGCACGTTTTGTTAAAGGACCAAATATAGACTTCAGAGTACATTTTTATCTCGTTTTTTTCTCGATTTTGATTGGAGGATTAGAGACACATGAGCCAGGAACAGTTATAATCACTGTACCTCAACACAAACAAGAGTCCAGTCTCACAAATCTCACAATATAACTAATATACTTTTATATGTATATATTAGTTAGTAGTTAGTGTGTATGTGTGTATATATATATATATATATATATCTAATAACGACACGAAAGTCCTGTATTGTTCCTTTATGTGCAGAACGAGATCCCCAGCTTCTCCATCAAAGCAGAAAAAAGCTGAAAAATCAACGTCACGATTGTGTTATTTAGCCTTTGTTAGAGCATTTGTGTGTTTAATGACACTTCTCTGAGATAAACTACTGTAAAGTTTCCCTTCAAAGGTGCAAACCACAGAAATTAAAGTTCAAACTTTGCTAATTGTGAGACTAAAAATCTTGTCTTGTAATAAAAAAAATTGTATTTCTATCACAATAAGTTCAAAACTCCAAAGAAGAAAGAAGTCAGAAAAATTTTTTTTTGTTGAGCCTTATAACAAACCATGCTAAAGGATTAAAGCGTCTTTATGTGTGGACTTACACACATCCCTTCTCACAGCTCCCAGATGGAAATGATCAATTATAGTAATTTATTACCCTGTTTATTTATTTTCAGCATGAATAATAACAATTTAGTTGATATTTCTGAGGAGGGCCTGAAAGATTGATGGATAATATTTGTTATTAATGGTGTTAAAATAGTGAAAATTGTGTTAAAATAAAATACAGGCGCTGCTCTTCTTCATTTGGATGCTGCTTCCCTATGTTGGGGTGTCATCGTTCTTCTTTTATTTATTACAGGTGGATGGAAATTGGCATAAGAAGAGCAAAGAGGAGCAAAATGCAGAGAATTAAAGCAGAAATTGGAGGTTTGGGGGTGGTGGCAGAAACAAAGAGGACTCTGTTTTTGACCGTAAACTGCTTAGTGACCCGCTATAAAACGCAAAAAAACAAAACAGAACGCCTCTTTTCGCCCCATTTCCAGGACTTACATTAAAAAACGACCCTCTAAGCCCTTTAAACAGTCCCATCCCCTCAGATTTGGGTCAGATTTGCTGGTTTGACGCGTAGAAATTCCCCTTTAGGGCAGCAGCTCTTTTGTTTGCACGCTACAGATTAGCGAAAAAAACAAACAAAAAATATAGTACAATGGTCATTTCTGGTTGGGCTCCATAATCTTTGCCCACAAAGGAGCTGACGGTTACTGAGTCATTCTGCAACTGTTCGCATTATGAGGTGGACGGGCCCTTTTTCGGTTGTTCTGACTCCAGTTCAGGCCACAAACAGTTAGCGTTAGCCGCTAAGGTGTGGGGTTGTTTATCAGTGGAAATACCCGTCCTCACAGGGTACTTCCAGACCATCACAGCGCGCCGTTGTGAGAAATTCGCCTCTGTTCTCAGACTTTCAGGTGTTCAAACGGGAATATTTCATATTTCTCTCATGTTGTTTGGACAAAGGGGCCATTTTGAAAATTTGAATGCACAAATAAAACAATCGGCAGCATCTTTGAGACTCAAAAACCCTAAACGGAGTCCCATGAGATGTATTTGCACAATCTTTTCCTCACGTATAGTAATCAAACTTGATTTAGGAACCAAACCGAGTCGTTTCAAGGGGCCTTTTTTAAAACAAAGCTTGTATAAACATGATGGTGGCGCTGTTAGAACCAATTTAGACCAAATGACTGATGTTTGTAAAGACAGCTTTGTATCCATCAAAAGAACCTTTAGTTATTAAAAAAAAACATGAGGAAAATATCTATTCCAAAGTTGTTAAAGGAACAAACTGCTGTATGACTTTTAATTGTGTAATTCCTCTTGTCACCAGTAGGGGGACACACAGTTGGAGGCGGCCCCAAAGAGTCGCCAAATTATTTAAAAAAAAGCATAAAAAGTATTTTTTTTAATCAAAGTGAATAACTCTTTTCTTTCAAAAGTGTGAGGACTTTATTTTTAAATTAAGGACGGACAAAAGAAAAGTTCAAAATGTTACATAATAAGCAGAGCTTATTATATAAAAATGGGTAAACTTTATAAAGTGGTCGTACCTCTAACATCCCCATTTCCAAAAAGGCTGAAAGTGCATGTGTGATTATTTTGGGGGAGCTGAAGCACCGGAAAAAGAGAGAGAGAGGGGGCCTCCTCATGTCCCCCCCCCCCCCCCCCCCC